ATTTAATTTTTTATTTATATTGTACAAATAAATTAATTGGTGATAATTTGTATTTAATTTTTAAGATAAGTTGTTAAAAGATTAATCTAAATTATATAGCGTTATATATAAAAAAAATATATATATATGTATATAATGTTACTAAACATACTAATAACATCGTAGTATTGTATTGTAATGATATTGTAAAAGCAACATTCATATTTGGTTAAATTATGATTTTAGATTCTGTCTCTTTAAGCGAACCTCGTTGTCTATTTACTTTTCTATTTCAACAATCAAACTAGTTTATATATAAATTTTAATAATATATCATCAACTTTAGTTCATTTCAATTGAATAAAAATAATTAAATCAAACAATTTTTTTTTTAAACATCCTTTATTAGACATGAGTAGTACAATCTCAACTATTTGATATCATACTAAGTATTATATTGATATTATTAAGTAATAGTGTGCGGGTTTACTGAACCAGTGTTCAGTTTCCATACAAACAATTGAAGAGAATTTAATTACTTTAAACGGGCCTCTTACTTTCTAAAGGATATGCCCTACACATAAATATTTATATTGCAAAGCAATAGTTGACTTGAAATAATCAAATATTCACATATAAATGCAAACAAACTGTTATAGTTCGCAAGACAGCATCGTTGTTGTTACAAATTAATTGTCTGTTTTTGTTTCTGTACATAGTTTTTGAATTAACACGAAACAAATAATGACTCAAGTATGGCAATTCGTATGAAGTCATTAGTGAAAAGTATGAAAAGTACAAACCCAAGAATAGCACCAAACAAAAATGCTTGAAAATGTCTCAAGAAAACCTCTGTGAAAATATTTTCAATAATGAAAATCAAAAATTGGAAGTACAGTACTTTCCCAGATTAACTTAAGTAAGAGCGCAAAACATGACAGGTATTTTTTTAACAGGTCTTTGCACTAGAAAATCGTGAAAGTTACAATAAAGTCTTCGAAATATACGAAGAAAAAAAATTAATTATTTCAAAAAAAAAATCTTAACCAAATACATATAGCAAATTTAAACAGGAGAACAAATAAAAAAATGAGCGCACTTTTGTCTTCTGATAAAAATGAGCGAAAAAAAAAACTATAGACAAGCTTCTGAAGAATATAAAAGAATATTTTTTCGCTTTTCTATGTAAACAATTGCATTCTTTCGTGCCACGTAATCCAGAAAAATCGTGCCTAGCAACCAGAACTGAAAAAACAATTTCAAGAAATCCAAGTCCACAGAGTGAAAAAAATAAAAAAATTAAAATGAAAAAAAAACCGCAAACGAAATCGTTCGTTTCGCGGCTAATGCCATTGTGCGCCATTTTTGTTGTTGCTTAACAACTTCATGCGATCAGTTGCCCATGCCGACATTGGATTAAAGCGTTCTTTCCTAGTATTTGTGCTAAACTTAGAAGATAGAAAAATTCTTAAAAAAGAAATAAACAACGAAAAAGCAACAAAAACAACAAAAGCAACAAGCCAGAGAACACACAGAAGAAAAGACACACATTGGCAACAAACACATTGGCAAATAGTAAAAAATAAAATAAAATAAAATAAAATAAAATAAAATAAAATAAAATACAATAAAATAAATAAATTCCAAATAATAAAAGACATACCCCGTCCCGTCGGTTATATGCACAAATATAAGAAGGAAAAGAACAACAACACTTTTCCACTTTTCTATCGTTATTGCGCTTTCTATGATTTATATTTTTTTATATTTTTTTTTGCTCTTTGCTATGGGAATACTTTGGTTTAAAATTACACATCGTTTCTTTCAACGCTCTTAACTAAGCTAAGTTTGTATCTTCAAGTCTCTCGAGCTGCATTCTTATGTACTACAATGTACACTCGCATTTGTATCTGTATCTGCTTTAATATCTGTATTTGTATCTGATGGTTATGTGCTATTTTCATGGTGTTCTACGAAAGTTTCTGTGAAGAAAGACTTCAGTTTCAACGAAGATTGAAGATTACTGTGTACTTGTATTATTTCGGACTAATCCTTTGAGCTGCAAAATATTAAATGATACTTTGTTTGTTGCTACATAAAATTTATACAAAGTATCTACCTGATTCTCACTTGCATTTGTTGATGCGAGTATCACAAATTTACTAATTGCATCTTTTTCATGAGTTCGAAATTTTATATTCTTTGTTGAGTATTATTGGTAAAATAAATATGCTGGAAATATAGTCAGAGTAGCATTGATAGACTCATATATGAAACAAATTAATTCCAAACAAGCCTCATAACATTGCGATTAATCTTAGTCTGTCTTATTGCTTCATTACTCTACTCAATGGTAGAAAGATCTAGGTTTTGGAATGTGTCAAACTTGAAAATTTCTTACTAAATTAATAAAATCAAAAACACAACAACTTTTTGGGATGTGAACCTTTATTCTGACAATGTTACGAAAACGCAACAGTGGGTGTTACAGTGGGTCTTGGGCGGGTTAGCACAAAACGGCTTTAAGAAATTTCGCCTCCTCCTAGTAGTGCCAGATAATGGGTTAATATGACGATAAAAATAACAATAGAAAAATTTATTTTAAGTATGACTTTCGGTTCGGACTAACTCAAGGAGTAACTAAAACTTTCCCAGACATCACTAAAATCTCATATAATATTATATACCGAAACCTGTAACGCTAAGGCCGTGTGGGAGTTCAAGTAAATTGATAGTAAATTAAGGGAAATACTAAATTACGACGGTATGGCAGTGAATGTTGGTATTTACCAAAATTTCGAGTAGGGTAAATTAGGTAAAAAATAGGTAAATTAATAAATAAGTGCAATAAATAAATAAATAAATATTTACATAAGTGCAGTGCAGAAACTCCCTAGGAAATTTAATTTTACTTTACCTTAATTTACTCGAACTCGCACACGGTCTAAATATGTAATTATTAGAATTTAATGTAATTTAATTAAACTTGAAGTAATATCACTCATACGCCATGTTAAAGAAACAAACACATTTAGTTCTACATTGTGCGGGTATTTCCGCTTCAATGTTTTTTTGCTCTTTCACTTTCAACACATTAAGTTCTTTGTTAAAGCATTTTATTAGCTATCTTCACGGCGCCTCATTAGAACATTTTAGAGGCTTACTTTTTTGAGGATCTTGGCGAACTTCAGGATCTCCCTTTAAATAGCATCATAAGCTTTACCAAAGGTTCTAGATGGTTTTAACTCGTAGGGTTTTTAATAATACGGTAGCACAATGGGCCTATAGGGCTAAGGGGATCACACTGGGATCGCCGGAATAACCTAATCTAACCTAACCTAAAATAAAATATAATAAATATGAAAATAAATGTAAAATTAAAATTAACAAGAAATATTTTATTGAAAATGTACGCCAAAAACGAATTTTTGCAGTTTTTCTATGCCAGCGCCACCTATCAACTTCAAAACGAAAGAACTAAAAAATTTCCGCTCAACTAAAAGAATTCATTACCTTTTTATCAAACTTAATGGGACAACTTTTCAATACATAAGTAAAAAACAAACAATATATCATACTTTAATTATTCTTTTTTAATTTAACAATTTCTTATTCTTTCCCTAATTGTTTCTTAATTAATTTAATTCTTAATTGTTTCACAAATCAAAATCCACTTCCCTAAACTCATGCAAATATCCTTGCTTAGCCTTGAAAATATAAATTGCACACACACATGCACACACACACACACACACATACACATACTCACAAAACACACAAAAAAATTCAAACAAAGTATTCAAACTGAAAGTTAATTACATTTCTTTTGATTGCACTAAAATGCGTTAACTTATTTCACTTTCCCTTGACACTTTACGCCATTAAGTGCACAAAAATAAACAAAAAACATAATTAAATAAAAACCATTCATATAAGCCACAAAATAAAAAACCAAAAACAAAAAAACAAATAAATCGAACTGAACAAAGCATGTACGGCATTTCAAAAACCAAAAA